GGCTTCCCGGGTGCGAAAACTTTTCGGGATCTTCGAAGAACGGGCCCCAGGGCCGGGTTGTTCAAAGTCTGGTTATTCTAACCCTGGATTAACGAGAATTTTGAGCTTTGTAACTCTTCGGTGAGGTTTTCTGTTTACACTGTTTGTCCTTCACTTTGAGTTTGAATAATCTCAAACTACACAAAACAAAAGCAGTGAAAAACAGTCTTATGTATACAAAAAAATTATTACTTCGGTTAGCGTTGATCCCGGCCCAGGGGCCCGTTTCTAGAAAGCCCCGGAATCTTTTCGGGCCCTAAAAGCCATTTTTAGTTAACCGGTGTTTACACTGTAAAGACAGAGAGGTGTATACACCTGAAAGTTCTTGTATGAAGAGAACCTCTGTTCGTATTAAGAATACACTGGTGGATCTAGGGGAGGCCCCCCCTCCCTTACTTTGGGTAAGAAAAAGAAAAGAAATCACAGAAGGAAGAAAAGCCTGCAGGGTAAGCAAAACAACCGCCCCCCCTCCCCTCCCCCGCTTTCGCTCAAGGCCTGGATCCGCCATTGGAACATATGAATAATTCAGCTGTGTAGGTTTGTGATTTTGCTACGGCTTTTCGGGTGCAAAAACTTTTCGGGACCTTGGAGAAACGGGCCCCAGGAAGATCAAAAGTTAACCGACATTAATTTTTCTTGTGTAAAAATGTTTTTCACTGCCTCTGTTTTGTGTAGAAAACAGAAAACCCCACCGAAAACTCACTAACCTTGAATCAAATTTCTCGCTAATCCTGGATTAGCTTAATCGGGCTTTGAAAAACCTAGCCTTGGACTGTGAGCAAAAGCAAACCAATGCCCACACTGTCGAATCCTAGTTTCAAGGAAGGAAATGTGAAGTGGAGGTCATAAATTACATGCTAACATTTTGACATCAGTCACAGTGAATGGTTTTTATTCATGGTAGTTTATTTTCCCTGACAATCAGTTTTTATAATTCCCAAATTTACTCTTAATAATGTACTTGAAGTTAACTTAAGGTTCAACAATATTGATTTGTTTCAATTAAATACATTGCAGATTCATAAAAATTTCTACTGGATATAAGCTGTCGTAAAAACTACTTTTGAGATGCCATTTTAGCCAGTTTTCAACATCTAATGTCTCCTTACAGTCTCATAACATTGTGTAACAAATAGGTGACAAGAATTAAGAAAATTATCATTAAGGGAATACAATTCTTCCACTGTTGACCAAAATCCTAGAACAAGTTTAAACTTGGTAGTTCAACTTTTCAATTTTCCTTTCTGGTGAAAGGCAACAAATTTGTTGCAAGGAGGAATGTTTTTCCTCTTTCATGATCATTCTCTTAATTCTCATCAACCACAAGCTGACTCCATATGAATTTGTTAGGGAGAAATTGGATTGAAGATAACTCAGTAACAAGCCATGGAGTGACATGCGTGTTTCTAGCTAGGCCACACTATATTTAGATGTTCTTGGCGCTCGTCACGCAATCTTCCAAAATTGTGCGATGAGCCCAAGGAGGCCACACCATATTGGGCGATTCTTTGCTTTTTACTGCACAGATGAATGCTCAATCAAGAACTAAAAATTGAACAGCCTGAAATCTTTCCCGCTCATTGAGCATAAAAAGAAAAACTTATTTTGTCAAAAGATTGACTCAAATTAAAAGGAAAAAATCTCCAAAATAGTTTGCCTGAATATATAATGCCCTTTCAATTAAGGTGTTAATATTGACACTTACACTTACACTTGTATTCTGTACATCTGGCAAGAAAATTATTGCACTCTCTATAAACTGCACAACAGTAATGATTATATTACTCAATTCTGATAATATGTTCCCCAAAGACAGCACCGAATAAATACACTTACATGCAAGTAAATATCCAACAAGAATTTTTTTGCAAATAGAAAATCGGCCTTAGTGATAAAAATCAGTTATAATTTTTCTATAAAATGTCCTTCTATTTATGTAGTTGGTACAAAATTGTTACAATTGATGTACTTCAACTGGTTATAAAATAACTTGTATTTAATTGCAAGGTGGTTAAGTCTAAATAAATGCCTTGATTATAACTTACAGCTGGGCATTTAAAAACTACTTCACCATACCTTAAGATTCTCTCATTCAGTAACTTGGTTACAGTGACAATTTCACACTTGCACTGGCAAGTAGAGTATAGCTCAGAGGTTTTAGATCCACTTTCTGCGATTGGTGTAGTGTTTGTAAGCTGTCACTCTTCAGTTTTCCTCAAATTCATTTTACATTTTTCTAGACGTCCACATCCATAAACAATCAAGAATGGAAGCCACACAGACCAAAATGTCATTCACAAAGCTGTTGTGCTTGTAAAAAGCAATCACACACACAAATCCGCATTCCTAATGAAACTGCTATTTCCAGTTAATTCCTTCTTCTTTACTGAATCACTTCTGCAGGTTCACTCTGTGATGTCCTTTCTCTTAGATGCACCGTTTTCTCGAGTGTTTCCCACAAGCAGTTTCCTTTGACAAAGTCATTGTCTACTAAGTTGACAAGATAGTAGTTCTTACAAATGTCATCAATGACAAGTTTTGATGGCGAGCCTTCAAGGTAGAGTTTGCCCCACCTTTGCTGCCAAAGGTCAAATGCCTCGTCCTTGAAAAAAACAATGCAAGTAGTCAATAACGGTATTTGAGTAAAAAAAAAATTCCTGTGTTTGTTTGGGGGAACAAGAAATGCCATGGAAACACAAACTGTACATGCACATGCATGTTACTAAAGCTTTTTTGAGTTCTATCAATTATACAGTTTCATAGAAACAGAGAATAATGTTTAATTTTTCTTTTGACGACACAGCAAGAAAAAGAAAGGAAAATCATTTGTTTATTACTATTGCGTAAATTCCTTTTGCTCTTGCTTTGTCTGTCAGTCAATCAGTCGGTTGATCAGTCAGTCAGTCAGTCAGTCAGTTACTCTGTCAGACAAATTTATAGGAAAGGAATTTGACCAGTCAGACAGTCAGTTATATAGACAAATAGTCTGTCAGACAGTCAAGGAATCAGACAGACAGTCAGTCAGTCAATGTGGCCATCCATCTGTCCTTCCATCTGCTCATCCATCAGTCAGTCAGTCAGTCAGTCAGACAGTCAGTCAGACAGTCAGTCATGCAGGCAATCATTTAGTCTATCCATCGGTTGGTCGTTAATGGCATGCAATGACCTACACAGAACAAACAGCAACATTACTATTTTCAGCTCATACTCACTTTCCACGAATCAAAGCTGATTGGATCAACAACTGTTGGTTGAGCAATCTCTTTTCCAGGAAATACTCCCCATGTGACAGCGATAGGGGAAAGCGTATCTGCATTGGTCACATTAACTGAGCCCTGGAACATACACGGAGGCACATGAATGAACGTCTATTTGTTAAACAACAAAAATTATCCATTTCTCAAATCAATGCACATGCTACAGGGACTCATGCTGATCCAACTCACCTCACAGTTTACGACATGATAGTTGACCTGCGGATACTCCTTTAAAACTTCCAGTAAGGCATCAACAACTTCTTTGCAGGTGAAGAACTCCAGATATGCCTGGAATGTAACAGAGACATTGAGTAAATGCACACGTTCAGGATAAAATAAAATAAAAATAAATAAATGAATTACAACAATATTTAAAGAGGATGCCACATCAGCCTTGGCTGGTCCTCTGTCCTGACCAAATTGGAATTTGATGATGAAAATGGAAAAGCCCAAACAGTGAGTGTGTTGAATAATCCATATCACGAAAATCAGGATTTATGATAATTTGGGTCATGGTTCATAGAAGGACCCGATGAAATGACTCTGGGCAAGGATTCCTCAGTTCCTTTGATCCACAATGACCCAGGTGATCTTGCATTATAAATGCTGATCAGGTTCGTTCCAAAGGAATGTGCTCAAGATAGGCAGCTTTCCTTCCTACCAAAAATTCCAGTTCTCAATTTCAGAAATTTCCAGCACTGAATAGAACAGCATTTTCTGGAATTTCAGGAAAAGAGGACAACCTTGCAAGGTATACATGAACTGAGATTTTCAGAAACTTCTTACCAGGAATTCCATTCTATTTGACTATGGTTGAATGGTACGCTGTTTGGAAATTCAACAATTTCCGGATTTTCTGGAAACTTTCCCGGGAAATTTTGGTACAATTTGTACTTGTTTCAATTAAATTTTCAAAGTTTCTGGTTGGCATGTAAAAGAAAATCAAGATTTCACCTTGCTTTGCATCATATACAATTTGCAAATGAATGGTTTTCAATGACCTCAGATCTATATTACATGTACCGCAGAAGCTCAATTTAAAAGGCGGTAAAGTGCTGATTACTCAACCAATAACAAAGCAAACAACAAACTTACCTTCTGATAGATGTAACCTCCACTTCCTCCCCAGCCAACCAGAGGGTCACTTGATGGAGCGGCATTCACATGAGGTTGACTGTTGATTGTCAAAATTCCCTTGCTGTTTAAGAATTCTAGCTTTTCTTTGATCAGTGCTGTTTCTGGAGCAACTGTATCGTCATTCCATGGCAGAGACTTAACCTACAGAGATGATAAAAGCATCGAGGAAGAACAACAAAAGAAAATTAACCATCTGAGTGTAAAAATTTCAGGTCAGTAAACTGCAAGTGAGAGACTGTCTACTACCCTTTCTATACATGTAGTATTTCTCTTAAAAATATTTCTCCAAATTACATGTTGTTTGGTTTTATGTTTGCTGAAAGGTCATATGACAAATGTGGTTGCAAAAGGCCCACTGCTACATGGTTCTGTGATACTGAATCTCGACCATTGCTTACCTTCACTCCATATCTGTTTTCCTCTCCTGAGATGTAACACTTGAACACCTCAAACACATCTTCCACACTTCGCAGTTCTTCACCCCACATTTTCAGCAAGTCATCTTTCTTGCTCCTGCTTCTCAAATAAAACAAGTGATGGTCCTCCAATTCGCCAAAGGATGGTGACGACGAGTTTCCCCATCGGCCATTAGGGAACTCGTCCCAGTCTGAGGTGCGGTACAAGTAACTCTTGGGTCGAGAAGCCCAGAAGATGGGCCGCACATCCTCACAGACCCTTTTTTTGTTTGCCGATGGTTTCCATGGCAATGGTCTACTGGCAGCTGGATCCTGGCACCACAATCCCAAAGCTGTGAGAATTTCTTTGGTGGCAACTTCTCGATTCAGGGTGTAAAAATGCAATCCAGGAACTTGATCATGTGCTAAGAGTTCTCGAGCCATTTCAATTCCAAGCTGTACGCCATATTTACGTATGGCCTCATCGTCATCTTTGATTGGTTCAATGGCATCAACAATCCACTGGGGAACTTCTAATCTCGAAAGCTTCACAAGGTGACGCAGTGAAGCGTAACCCTAAAGAAATAAGTTTGTAGCAGGAATCAAAATTAAACATAACAAAAACAAAAACAGCACATTGTTATAACTAGTAAATAACTTTATACATCATAGACAAAATGATTGTTAAGATTACAAAATCTACACAGCTACAGCACTGCACAAGTGCAGCATGTTGAAAACAATTTTAACTTAAAGCATGCTTAAGACTAAACACATTCTAGTATATAATATATATATATATATAACGGTTATGAAATGCCTCAAGCCAACAAAGAATGCCACTGCGTCAGGAGGATCAATGAAGATTCACAGTCCAAGCCTCACCGCAAAAATGAATTTAAAAACGTTTGATAAAGCAAGGACGGACAACTTCTGACAGTAAAAAAAGTTAAAAAGTTAAAAATGTAATAGAAAAACGTTTCGGTCTTAGACCTTCATCAGTTACCAGGTAACTGATGAAGGTCTAAGGTCTGATGAAGGTCTTCTATATATATATAGAAGCAATGGAATGGTGCACCTCAGTACAATAAATATTATTACTATTAAACTGAAAAGAAATCTTTTACCTGAATTGGCATAATTCCAGGAATGATTGGGATGGTGATACCAATGTCTCGACAATCTTGTAGGAACTTAAAGAATGTCTTGTTTTCAAAGAACAGCTGCGTAATAATGAAATCTGCTCCTGCATCCACTTTCTCTTTCAAATGCTGAAGATCTTCCTCGTAACTGGGGCAGTCTGGATGACCGTTAGGGTAACCTACAGGAACAACAATCATCAATTGTGAGGTGGTTACTTTAAAAAATGTTGGGTTAGTGCACTGGTGACTTGAGCTTAAGAGTTCCATTGGTTTCTGATGAAGATATTCCAAATGAGAAACCCATTACATTGGCACTGTCCAGTTCCAAACAATATCCATACTCCCCCTAACAGAAGGATTAGAATTTCCTGAGGGGGTGTTCAGGAAGTCCAAAAAAAAAAAGAAATGAATGATGCTTAATCAGAATTTCCAGAGTGGGTGGAGGTGAGTCTTACAAGTAAAATTTCTTCTGTGGGGGAGGTATTGAAATTTTCTGGAGCTACATGTATACATTGCATGTTTGTTAAAAATACTATCATTTTGTCCTTACCGGCAACACAGACAGTAAAACAGTCCCCAAACTCTTGACGAATGTGTTTAACCATGTCTGTGCCATAAGCTAAACCATCGTCAAGCGCCTGCCACTCTTCACCATTTGGGGGGTCTGAAAAAGAAAAAGCAACAGGTTATAGTTTGTACAGTAACTAAACAATCTCATACAGCATTCTTCATTTGAAACTTTCACCATTCAAATGAAGAGTCCTCCAATATAATTTTGTTACTAACTAAGATACATATAGTGCTTGAACAGAGCTATGTCCTTGTTTGAAATTCACTATTCAGCACCAAAATTAATGTACATAAAACTTCTCAGTCAAATCCATCCTTCAGGGAGCTTGTTTGTTTTCAGTTTATATTACATGTACTTCTTTGTTTTTCACACCTTAGAAAACTATTATTTGCAGCTTTCTCTGATTTGAAAATTATTTTGAAGTACAGTTGTACGATATAAGTAGAAAGTTCGCGAAACATACCACCACGGAGAGCAAGAATATTCCTGATTCCTAAGGACTTGGCTTTCATCAAGTGCTTGGTCACAGTGGCTTTAACAGTATTTGCGCAAGAGATATGCAACATGGTGTCAATGCCGCAGTAGTTGACAGCTGCACTCGCGATAGTCATAGAGCTTGTCTCTTTATCACCGCCAGGGTCTCCAGCGGGATGCCACGTCACATCGCAAAACAAAGGACATCCTACAGATATCCTGTCAAACTTAGCAATCAAGTTTACTGCTCCATTAGGTGTTCTTGGAGGAAAAAATTCTAAGCTGAAGAATTTTTCACCTGAGGCAATCTTCTGGTTGATTTTTTCAATCAGTGTCAAAGGTGACGAGGGAACTGATGGTGTGTTCGACTTTGAAGCCCGGTCGCCATTCACACATTGAAGCAACTCCATAGCCGGGGCAGTATCTTGACGACCAAATCCCATTGTTTACGTTGGCAGTCAGACTATGAGAAGATTGCTTAGGTTAGTCCAGTATACACATTGCTGATCCCTGTATTGCCAGCAATCTTAACTTTAAATTAAGATCACAACTTTCAAGTAACTTGAAAATCATGAACTAATTAGGAGGAGACCTCCTCAAATAAAGTAAGCATTTAATTATGTAACTATTATGTTTATTTTCGAGTGAGTTAAAAGCCAAATCAGATGTTATTGCAAGTTATGAAATCATGCCTCTGGATCTATGAAGCTCTTCTGAACCTCGATCATGCATACTAAAATAGTATGCATGACAAGCGACTCAGATAACACCATAAAAATATTTCAATGTGACAAGCAAGGCATTTGTTTGTATGTACACATTCAAGAGGAAGAGAAAACTTCCAACTTCTGCATGAAGAACATAATATGGGTAACTTACATCTTAAAATCATATCTTGAGACCGGTGTGCCGGTCCAGAGAGCGATCCAGCTTGCGTCACAATTAAGAATTCTTGCATCACATTTCCATCACTTTAAACCCAAGTTTCTTTCTGTGTTAAAACCCATTATTTTGTGTACCTTCTGAGGGATTTTTTTAAAGCAGAAATTTATGTCCCAGTTTGTGCACAAGCTATCAAAAGATCTGCAGAATCTTATTAAAAGAAGGATTCCAATAAATACAATCAATTAACACGCTCACAGTAGAAAAGTTGTCATTAGCATTTTCAGTTAGAAATTAACTAATAAACTCAGCAAAGGAGTTTGTTCAAAGGCAACTTCTGAAGCACATTGGTTGGTCTTTGTTCCCCTTCTTTAATGACAGAGAAAAACACAATCTTAGAGTTAAAATATCACATTCTTTACCCTCACATTCTTTCATTAAATCTAAAAGTCAACGAGCGTGATCAAAATCAAGTACCATGTAAGCTTAAGTGATCGGTGAATGAACACAAGTGAAAATCAGAACTTCGCAGATTATTTTGACGTTTTCTTTTCAGGGAACAGAAAGCTAAGACGACTTCCTAACACACCTATATTTATGCAGAAGATTTTTTTTGGCATTGATCTACTGAAATGTAAGCTAAATTATGACTGCTTTGATGTCCATTCCGGCCTCGCTGCCGGGGAAGTCTAATTTCTAACTGAGAGATCTCGAGGCATGTTCAGCCAAAGATAAGCTGAAATTATCACCATCATCTTAGAGGACTTGCGATTGTTTTGGCTTTAGCGATGCCTCATCAGTAAGCGTTGATCTGAGATACCGGCCTTGAGAGCTTTCAAACAACGCTTTCATCTGGGTTTTCCCTGGTCACACGATTTCCGACAGCCGCAGGAAGCTCATTTGCATAACATGAAGTATTCTAACGAAAGCTCCAGACCGTCTGAATAAATATAGTCTGCAAAAATCCACGAACTCCCCTTCTTCATGGGTTACACGGAGTAATAAATCTCACATCGAATTCACGATCAGTGCACAGCATGCAAGACCTCGCTCAGACTAAAACATACACGTGAGCAAAATACTTGTTTCTTCGACTGCCGGCCATTACTCGGACTGGTTTGACGAGTCTGACGAGTTTAAACGTCGATGACCACAATTTCGCGTGAAATTTAGCGTAACATTAGGATAAGTAAGTGCCTCACCTTTGACTTGCAAATAATTTCGTATTTTTTTATGTGATAAGACTGCAACGGGAGATTTAAATGTCGAAAATTTTCACAGTGACGGACCCTTTTATCCTATGTGGTTTTCCATCCGCCATATTTGGCTAGCCCTTTCGAAATAGTCCACGGTTCATGCTATGACCACGTGCATTTGACCAATCAGCGCCCGGTTTATAACCCAAATAAGCTAAGTGAAAACCCAAAGGAAGATTCAACCACCAATCATGTTCTCTGTAATATTCCGGCGGAGTAAGATTTTACATTCCCAGGGCAGTTCACGGCATTCCCTGCAGTTTGCACTCTGCAAGGAAACAATGGCTTCGCAGTAATAGAAAGGCTGCTACTTCCGATCACATGTTGGCTGAATATTACGCAGGGAAAAAAATTTCGACAACGAAAAAGATTCTTGCTGGGAATTTTGTGAGTTAGATCTCCGGAGCTGAGCCATTCATTTTCGCCAAACGATACCTGACGCGAGCAAACTTAACACTTTAGACTAGCTTGCAGAGAGGCTCCTGTCTTTCTACATTTTGGTGTTTTGCCTTCTTTCCTGACTTTTTTCTTATTAGTTGGAATCCCGGGTCGGAGACTGCACAGCTGGTGCCTGAAAATATCACTACAAATCGTCACTCATCGTGTTGAAATCCATTATCCCCTCGTTGATCATGACATGAGACATCATTGTGTTTATATTCACACGAAAGCACGCGAAAGACTTCCGTAATTGCTGATCTTGGCCGGGGATCTTGGGCGGTTTTACATGAAGTGAAAGGTGGTGCAAACGATAAAAGGTCAACAAGTATTAATCAAACGTTTTATGCCGTGCATGCAGGCAGCACGCAAATCGCGCAAATGAGATTAACGTGATTAGCCTAAAACCGCGTGACACGGCCGTACAGATTCCGTATTGACGTTAAATATTACTCCGGTTATCTCTTGGGTAAACCTAAAACAGCACTTCGCCAGTCCTTATAGCACTTCAGCTGTACTAAATAGCACTTTGAGTAGTCTAAATAGCATTTCGCTGTGTTCTACCTTCACCACCATGATTTGAGGGAGGTTGTTCCACAGGCAGCCCAAGCCAAGCTGGGTGCGATGATTCATCTTACGTAATAGCGAACATGGCAAAATTTACAAGACTTTGTTCGGGAACATTTATGAAATAGCGATCGGTGTTACGAGGTAGGACTATTAGCAAGCTCTCAATAAAAAATGCCTTATCTTTCTTTCTCGGTGTGTTATTTTGTTGTCTGTTCACTCTGCTGATTTAAAGCGAATTTAGCGAGTTATTATTTCCTCGGTTGCGAACAGACAACAAGAACGACATTGTGAAAGAAAGCTAACACTGATCGTAAATATCTGATACAAAGTCTCATATTTTTTGCCATACCCGCTCTTACGCAAGATCATAGTCGCTCAGAGCTTGAGCTTGGGTGACCTGTGATCATTCTAACTTTCACACTTGTGTTTATTGACATCAAAATAGCCATTTGGTAACAGGCCCTCAGAAACTGGGAATAAAATCCTGTTTTTACAGCTACTTTGACAATGTTAAGACGAAATTCGTGATCTATAACAGGATAGACGCATGAAAAACTGACGTCAATTCAGTTAAATTTTTCATCTAGAGAATGCCCAGAATCTGATTTCCACTTGTAAGTCTGGCAGGGAGACTCAAGTTGAGATGAGACGAGGGTGCGTCACCCATTCTTGTCAATGCTGCCCCTATTTTACGTTAGCGTGCGAACGGCATTAACCACCTGTTGCGGACCCTACAAGAAAGGACCGGCTATGAGGCAGTGGAGTCTATCTTAGCTTCACTTGTCTTCTTTCTCAACTCTCAACATGGCGGCTAGGACTAAATGTCGTCCAATTTAGAAATAATCGCGCGAAAAAGAAAAGACACAAATAAATGCATAGCACTGCCAAAATAAAATAAGTTGCCCGCGCGTTTTTAATCTTGGTAGCCTGCGGTATACCCTGTTAGCAGAGGTTTCTCTCTGGCAAGTCTTCTAACATGTACGAAGTCGTTTACGTCTCTTGAATTTCGCGTAGTCGGGTTGTTTACTTCCCCCGACTACGCGAAATACAAGAGACGCGAACGACTTCGTAAGAGCTAAAAAATGAAAGAAACCTCTGCCTGCGGTAGTAAGCGTTCCGTAGCAGAGCAAAGTCTGGTCGCGCGAAAATTGGGAGAGCAAAAATATCAACGATGCAGGGGGAGGGGCGATGGGGCAAGCACCTGCCTCACCATCTCCGCTTCCGTCAATTTTTGCTCTCGCCCCAATTTCTGGACGCAGGGTTAATAGCTCCTGCCGGGCGCCCAGACTTTGCTCTGAAACAAAAACGCTTGCTTCACAGGCCATTCCCTCAGTTTCCTTACTATTCTAGGAAAACCCAGATGACAAGCATTTCATATTGGTGCCTTTATATTTCAATAACTTTTAAAACATACTATCAATTTACTTCAAATTGACATCTTCACAGTAAGCAGCGTATACTTGCTTAAAAATACTTCTTAATTATATACTTTAACTGAAATATTTACGAGGACAAAACGAGATTAAACTTAGTCCAGTTCTCTCCCTCTGTCACGCAACGCTACGCTCTCGGGAAAGGATCCTCTCTCAAGAACTACGTGACAGAGAGATGGCCAGAACTGGACTAGGATAAACTAGGCTCTAAACAGCCAAGGCTGCCTATCACCCGCAATACCCTATTGTAAGATCGCATTACTAAATAAGAACAAAATATTTCACATACAACTTTAATTGTATTAATACGTAATATATACATAACATATTTGTTAAAGCCGTTAAAGAGTTTTTCGTATATGGAGAGCATCATAGAGCTTCTCCTCTTATTATAACGATATAAATTTTTGCACTTTGCGTAAAGTAAATCTTATGAAGTTTCGTGCCGATGGTCAATTTATGAAAATTATATCTTCAATCTATGTTAAATTATCTCGGTATTTACCCTTTGTAATCTGTATTTTCTGTCTCAATAACGAAATCGACATCCTCTAGATTTTTCTCTTCTGCTACTGCTTCTTAGGTTATGACGGGCCTAACAACCGTAGCTAAGAGATCTTAAGATAATTTTAAATTCCAGTGATCCTAAGCAAATCTATAATTGCAGTAAATTTGTTGACAAAACACCAAAACCCGATCTTTTTAGATATGTTGCGCCCATTCACTGCACTGCAGCACTTGCTGTTTCAACACAAATGACAAGTCTGCTAAGATACTGTGAATGGTTCGAATATATTTGCGGAATATATTATAACCAATCAGGACTAAGAAGTTGTATCTATTTGGCCGATCAAGCACAAAGCCTTCACGCAAGCGTTACATGGCTTACGTGACGTTTTCCCGCGCTTTTCGTGAACGCTGCACTTCATGTAAATGTAAAGGAAACGACCGGAGCTTATCCCGATATCCGTACCATTATTTCAGTGACGAAAGTATCGCTACTTTGCGAGATATCCTAGCCCTAGGTATTTTGTCAGGCTGACCTGACTCTATGCACCCGGGTAGAGAGGAAGCAATGCAAGTGATCACTGCTCGAACCCAGACCCCTTGATCCAGAGTCCAGCGTGCTAACCATGAGACACCGCAACGTTTACAGTGTTTTGGGTTTTCAGCGGACCGTTTTATGTATGGTATAAATTTGGTATAAACTTCTAAATAAAGGACTTGCGGGAACAAAGTGCAACGGGTCGAGTGTACCTCTGTGCTTGAATGAAAATGTCTAAAAACAGTCCTGACTCTGGTACTTGGTCTAAACATCTTTGTCCTCGAAATTCTCAAAGATGTAAACAGCTGCGCGATCCAAATCCCAGGAACAGTGAGACAGAGTTCTCTCACAAAAATGCTCACTCTTGCCGGTGATTTTGGACAGCTTTTGGATTTTGATAACACGAACAACTCGATCGACATCCCCTTGAAATTGCAAAAGAGCTGCGTAACACCAGTCACGTTGTAGCTCCTCACCGCAGATCTGGCGGATTTCTCGGATCCCTTCGTCTATTTCCTCGCCGTATGCCCCTCCACCAGTGGCACCACCTGGACTGACAGGTTTGTCGGTTGGATGGACTAGTTGGTCAACTGGATTAACAGATTCCTCTGGTGGATTTCCAGGTTGAGGAGCCTGGTGAAGAGTATGGAATGCTGGGTTGTCGACCCAGCCTCCTGGTGGAAGTTGAAAACTAGTATCCAGGTCTCCTCTCATAGTACCGCCAAAAAGGTTGAATGGCGGAGGTTGGTTTAAGATCTCGTTCGGAATGTCTGGAGGCTCCGGAAGTTGAATTGGCTTGTCGTAGATGGGCTCAGAGACTGCAGCATCCTCGGGGTCGAGTGAAAGATCTATGAGATCAGCCGATAACCTTTTTACTTCATCAGCGTTTACATAATGGTGAACTTCTGTTAGTTGGGATGAATCGCTGTTTCCTGTCGCCCCAGTGACTTGGTCAACAGCAGGAGCTTGGGACTCGCTCGACAAGTCCTGACCGTGAGTGTCCTGGGAAGCAGTAGCCTGCGCCGTCCCTTCACCATTAGGAATGGGTGGTGCAATTATGATATAATGTTTCTTTTGTATTGGTTGTTCAGACGCAGTATCTGCCTTCGACGACTGGTCCTGAAGCTCTATCTGAAGCTCCTTATCATCACTACTTTGCCCTTCAAGGTGCATCTCCGAGCGTACTGGCGAGTTCTCGGCAAGTTCTCGTCGTTTAAGAGGAGCGTTAGTGGGCTGGCGAAGCAAATGAGTTGGAGGTGGTACTTTTTTATCAGCTGACGCACCGACCACATCTCCTGTGTCTGAGCCTTTAACAGCTTCTGAATTACGTGCATGGAAGTCTCCATTCGCAGGGAGTGGTTCTGTTCCACTGACCGCTTTTGTATCAAGACTGCCATCAGAAACAGGGCGAGCGTTCAACTTGGTGTTTCGACGAGGTGTGGGCACTGGTCTCTTTGTAGTCTTTCTCGGGGTCGTTGCAAACGGACTGCTGGAAGGCGCGCTAGCAGATAGAACGCTTCCAGCTGCATCAGAGGTTTTCCCCTTGTGCTCCTGAAGGTCGGGGCGATCTGGAATATTCAGCGGGGATTTCCCCCTTGGGGTATTACCCCCTGGAGTTTCCTGTAGTCCACGCCCTAGGGAAGTATCATCTTTGTATCCCTTTCTGTGTTGATACGGCACAGCATAATCTGGGTCGGATGCCATTCCTGCAGCGTCTGATTCGNTAAGTGTAACCGAACACTCATGAGAAATTTTAAAGTTTTCATAATAAGTTCAAGAGGCATTACTGTTGACTTAAATAGCTGGCCATCACAAATTATTTACAGGTAGCCATGGCGAAGTGGCGCAGAAATGGACAGGCGTGTTCAACTAGTTGTTGTTTAATATTTGCTGCTTGACTCACCCAACAAATCGTGAACCACGCCGTTTCCCTCGGTTTGTCTCACTGGTTTTCTAAAAATAGCATAGACAATAGCATAGACAAACATCAATGCACTTGATTTGCGTGACAACCAATTAGACCCAGTGACATGTCCGCTATGCTGTGATATGGACTCACTAATAGCTCCTCACGCAATCTTTGCCTTGGGGAGGAAGGATTGCGTGACGAGCCATAGAAGGGCGTCTGTGCAGGACCCTCACTAGGACCCTCAAAGTCGTACTCCACTTCACTGTCACATGATGATCTTAAATTTGAAATGGGTCCACGCAGATCTCCGACACAAAAGCCCTCCAACAGCTGTCCCTCAACAGGGGCTTCTAAATAATGTATTATAGAGTTTTGCTTCTTATGGTATTAGTGAGCTAGTTAGTTTTACTATCGAATGAAGAGCCATTTTATCGTTTGTAGAAATGCCGAAATAAAGTGGTTATCATAATCATCATCATCATCATTAATATTATTATCATTATTATTATTATTATGAAAATTACAATTTCCTCGATTGTGATTGGTTTAAAAAACTTCTATTTTCCACTAATTCACTTGCCGAGTTATTATTGAACAGTTTGTTATTGGACAGTTTGTTATCGGACAGTTCTCTGAGCCAATCACATTCAAAGCTGTTGTTTAAATCAACGAATCACATTCAAAGTTGTAGTTACGTGTGTGCGTGCACGCGCTTGCTTTTGTGTTTTTGGCGCCTAATTGCCGGTAGGAGGGGCGGTGGCCTTAGAATGTTTACATCTCCTTTGAAGGTATTTAAATGCAGATTTTCCCTTTCTTTCATAACTTAGCTATTATTCTTTTCTCAGAAGTTGTAATTGTTATGATTAATTGGTAATAAGACTTCGTGTCCAATTCGGTCTGTAATCATACTCGTGATAAACAAATCGGACTCCCGCTGCGCGGTCGTCCGAGTTTGTAATCACTCTTATGATAACCGACCGAATTGGACTCCACTCAGTCCTATTACCATTACTTATTAATGTCTTCTGATTATGAGTGCTCTGTAGAGCTCTTTTCGCATTAAAAGGACTATCTAATAGCATGTTCAGCGTCTTCTGATGTTCATTAGGCAACTGTATGGGAGGTTTTCTGTTTTATGGCATCCTTTCTGGAGAGTTTATTATGCATTCTTCTTAGCAGAGTCCGAAATTAACTTTTTTCGGCGGGCGCCAACTGGCGACTGAAATTTTTTTTTCAGTCGCCATATGGAAAAATGTGGTCGCCAAAAAGTGTCAATAAAATTTTTCCTTCGCAGCGAAACACAAACCAAAGGTTTTGGTCACCACGGGCTTGCCGGTAAAATATTTGCGATCGATGTCATCAGGAATCAAACCAGTGCTGAAATCATCTTTTGACCACTTTGACAGACCTACATTTCCACTTTTTGACGCGCAGAGAATATCTAAATCTTCATCTAATTTCTTCGCGGATGTTCCGTCTCCACTTTGTAATAAATTACGGAAAGATTTCAGAACATCTTTGGACACCACATAGCCTGAATAAATATTCATGGCGAAAGAACGCATGGGGCCTCTTGCGCCCGCAATACGTATGTTATGGGAAACCGCTAAACAAACATAGCGGCGAAGCTTCGCACTGATCGTAGCTGTAAAACGTTGTGGTAGATTTATAATAACAGTCGTGAAAATCGGTTTCATACTTCAAAAGCAGCGGAAAGGTAAAAAGGAAGTGACCGATTGGCGGACGGCTTTGAATTTTATTTTATCGGCCACCCTGGCTAAATAACGTTTACCTTTACCTTTACCTTTGCCTTTTAATCTATTTGTCTGAAAACCATGCAAAGTTATTGTTTGTGTAATTATCATGGCATGAAATAGTTCATCGTCCGCTGGCGACCAGTTGTGAAATTCTGGTCGCCAGTGCAAACTTTTTAGTCGCATTGGCGACCAGGAAAGCGCAATTTCGGACACTGCTAACTTAGATTACCAAATATTTTCTGATTTAAAACCCAAAAATTTTATAGCAAAGTAACCCCCCCCCCCCCCCCCCCCCCCCCGTCCTCTTGGGTACTTCTAAAATCCAACAATTACTGTGATTGGCTAACCGGTATGGAATGCAGTTCAGGTTTAAGCAGCGGTTGAGAAGCGTTNCCCCCCCCCCCCCCCCCCCCCCCACCACCCCCGTCCTCAATAATACCACCCTACCCAGCCCACCAACCGGTAAATCTAACCAAAATAGGATTACTACATACGGTAGTTGAAGGTAGTTGCGAGATTTGCAAAAAAAAAAAAGGCTGTTGTTGGAATCATTTCCGATACGCCTGCCAAAGTTTGTCACAAACAATATGCTGCAATAAATTTGTGACACATATCAACGTGTTTGCAACCACCAGCTACATGCTCTAGTATTCTGCTCCATCTTGAGACCGAGATATAAATGATAGTCGGACGTCGCCTAGCAACCAACCAGGTCACCCAGGGAGATAGTATTGAATGACACCTGTCAATACATTTTACTGTTATCACGATTCCAACCAACCGAACTAATCAAACCTCCTTGATAACATGACCACATTTTTCTCACCAGTCACCTGTAGTTTGCACTTACTTGTGTGATTTTGGCAAGAGCTCTTTCGAATTTTGTTTCCTTAGGTCAAATGGTCTGCCGATGTCTCCTGCATTACGGCCACTGCTATAAAACCAAAACAAACACACACAAAAAAAGTTAATACACGATGTGTGATTTGTTTAACGAGTTTTAAACTATTTGTAAGTGAATAACTCTTCATTCATTGGCCTACCATTACATGGAACATGTTATATAACATCTACTATGCAAGCATACAGACAGACAGTTTTGAAAAAGAGACCTTCATAACAGAAATTCACCTACAGCTCCCTCAGTTCAAGTGTGCATAAAAATTGGTTGCAGCCTAATGCAGATATGCTGAAAAGCAATACTACAGCGCAATTTTAACAATAGGTCTTCAATGCGTACATGTTCAGCAGTTTTAACTGAGTGTCAAAACCACTCTTAATAACCAATCACAAGAGACACAGACAATCCAATGAACCAATCAAAACTTGAAGTAGCTACATGCAGTTGACGCGGGCAAACGTGTGCGAATGAGTCATGCTTGGATTTGGTTTTCCTACTGATCGTGTAGCGCAGTCATGAACGAACGAACGAACGAACCAGTGTATTTAGCTATAGATTAGCTAATTGGGGACACCTAACTGACGTCAACAGCTAATAACTAGGTTACAAAAATTAATAAATAAATGTTGAAATGCAAAACCATTTACTTTTCGACACTCAAGTAAAAACCGCTCTATTTCAATGACTTGTCGTAGTTAAGAGACAACGGTGACTTAAAAAAAAAAAAAATTGGTCAAGTCAGGTAAGCCAAGTTCCTTATGATAAATAGCATGAATTCCACCAATGGCAGAAAACTCCAAATAAATGGTTGAAATGTCACGCTTCTTTCTCCCTTTTTTAATTTCCGTATTTTGCACCCAAAACTGGACTTGCAAAATAAATGGACAGCCAGACTTAAAAAGTAAGTGCCTCTGATTAGGAAATGAAAAGTTGTTTAACGAAGCAACCTAATGTTCAACCATCCCTTACCCAGCACGTTTTTGTAGTGCTTTCTTAGAGAAGTCTAGATTCTTCTCATGCACTAAACCTATGGTGCCATTTTCACTCTGTACAAGCAACAGGCCACTTTCTCTCCTGCAAGACAAATGAACTAAAATTAATCCAAAATGTAACGCACTTTGTGTTACAATAACTGACAACAGAATACATTAGGAAGTAATGCATACAGCGTGTGAATGAAAATAAATTTTCGCCCGTCTGTCTCTTTTTCACATTTCTCAGATATTGGTTCACGATTTTCACCAGCCTTTTGGTACACCATCAGTGACAACGAATATCAGGGGATCTTCAGTAGACTGTTGGTAGCCTGTCTGATGTCTATCAGTATTCTATTGGTGGACTGTCAGTTGTTCGTCGGTAGACTGGCCATTGGTAGCCTGTCATTAGAGGGTCAGTGGCATACATGTAGAAGTAGCCTGTCAGGAACCTGTAAGTCACCTGTTAGTTGATCATGAGGAAATCATCAGTAGACTGTAAGTACAGTGGTCTGTTGGTAGACTGTCAGTAGGCTGTTGGTAACCAGTCAGTAACCAGTCTAACCAGTCTACAGACCGTCTGTAGACTGTCTGTAGACTGTCTGTAGACTACCTGTGGAGTGTCTGCATGTAGAGTGTTTGTAGCGAGTCTCTAGACTGTCTGTAGACTGCTAACAGTTTGCTGGTAGACTTTCAAAGAGATTGTCTATAACAGGTCAATAAACTGCTGGTAGATAGCCTGTCAGTAGCCAACACCCTTGGATTGAGGGTGCTTTGGTTTTACAACTTACAGTTTAATTCACGATTTGAGTAGCAAGCATTGTAGACACAGAATAGAGTCCTTGGAATGCTCAACCTGATATTCATCTGTCTGGTTTCAGTTGCTTAAAGGGCAGCTAACACTTTCCACCAAATAGCGCAGTTTGTTTTGTCAACACTGATCCATTATGTAGCGATTTAATCAGTGGATAGTGGTATCCACCATTTGAACAACTGGGACCTGGTTGCTTACTCCCAGAGTACACAAACTGCAGAGAGATGGCTGAAATGCAAGCAAACTTCATGAACACATACTGTACCTCAGTCAGTACTTACTTTGAAATAACTGTAACCTTCGTTCTACTGTCATAGCTGAGGTGATCTTGTTCACCAGTGCGATGACAAACTTTTGTTATCCCTTCTCTTGGCTGCAACTGAAAAAAGAATGACATAGAGAGCATATTAAACATAGGCAAGCAAAGTCAGCTGCTTAAGAATTAGATAGCAATAAACTGAAATTTTTCCGTAGCGTTTTGCAGTTCTCATACGCAGATAGTGTATTTTGGCGTGAATTCCACTTCCTGGAGAGAATCTTGCTGGGATCCCGCCAAGATTCCTGCCAGGAAAGAAAATCTCCGAGGCCAAAATCTCGCAGGAATCCAAGCAAGATACCTGCCAAGATCGTGCCAGGATCCTGCGAAGATCCTGATCCTTATTCATTTTTACAGGACCAAGGAGCTTCAAGCAAGAGATATGACAAAATTTTAGACCAAGAGAATGCAAACTAAGGTCTGTTTAACTTGGATCCCTCTATACTGAACATGCTTTAGCTCAATAACAACAACAGCGACAAATTATCATTGGAGATACAATTTACTGTCCATTTTACTATTTTACTAGTAAAATGTAGTATGAGAATGTCTCAATAAAAACTAACCAGTCAAAAAAAAAAAATAAGTGGCAAAGTTTGCCAGGAGGTCAGAAGCCATGACAACTTTGACTACTTTTGAAATTTTGTTGTTAAGCTGTTGTTCACATTCATCGACAGTACTGGTTTGCTTACAAAGCAAGACTGCCATTCTTTGTCCTCAACATTAATGTTCATTCTCATCTTCAGAAACATGTGTTGCTCTTACTTGGCTGAGCCTTAATTGGCACAGGGAAAACCTGGCTCTGGAGACACATGATTTGGTTGGCTAGATTCTTGGATTAAGATTTTCACTAAAATTAATTCAATGGTGGTTTATTTCCTGAAAATATCACTGGCTGATATCTAACTACAGTGAAACAGGTCTGTATTACAGTAAGCAGACACGTCACCCTTGGGACGCTCACTGTTGTCCACTTAGTACAGGGTGTCCGCTCTAAACAGGTTCTAATATATTGCACAATGATAGCTAATTATAAACATTAACCCTTTTGTAACACAGTGTACAATAGTGTAAGATCGATCAGAAACTGTTCATAGCACAACGTCCAGCCATTCAATGCACCAATCTGGAATAATCTACCGGTACTTACATGCACGTTTAAAACAATATCGCTGTACAATGTTAAAGGAGTCTTGAGCTGAGCTTTTAGAAGTAAAAAGCCCTAATGAAGTGTCCACTTATTGCAAGTTTTGTGCAACAAAATGGCTTAATATTGGTGTCTGCAAATTTATAGGGACTCAAGCTGGTGTCCACTTAATAGCGGGCATCCGCTAAATAAAGGTTTCAATGAAAAACCATTCAACCCCTACACCTAAAGACCTTTAAGGCATTCAAAACCGACTTCGGGGATAAACTAGGGGAAGTCTAGATTCCATAATGAAACATATGTATGCAACTTTTGTACATAGTTTTATTCCTGTTTTGAATTCCTTTGTTAAATTCATTAAGACCTGTAAGTGATCTAATCAAACCATAGTCATTAACACCCAATCGTACTGTTGGGAAAAAAAACCACTGTTGAATTTATTTAGCAAAATTTCAGCCCAATAATCTAGGCAATCAAATCAGATGTTGCTATGGAGAGGCTGAGCCACGTTTTCCTTGTGCCAACACACTCAAGATTAGCAGCTCTGGGAATCAGATGACTGGTTGATTGTGTTCCAAGTGGCCTGGTTCAAGCAGTTGCAATGTGAACGTCAAAATGCTTTCAACCAGTGAGAATTGAGATAGGAAAGTAAAGTCAGTGATATCAACTGTCAATGCTATGACATTTAGCTCACCTCCAACACTCTGTTGCTTATGTAGGTAAATTTTGGCCTCTTCTCTCGATCACGTTCCCAACAGCCCAACATAATGTCATAAAAACCATCTGGACATGCTTCTGGTTTGTGAAGGTGATTGCTTGGCTCATTAGCAATCATCAGCTTGATCTAAAGTAAGTGTGAAGAGCAAAAGATTCAATATAAGCGGCAACCAGAATGCATGATGAAAGGTGCGGTCACTGAATGGTTAGTGGGCTAGCCTTCAAATTTCCTGGGAGGTGAGGGTTCTGTGACACCAGAAAATTTGAAGAAATGAAGCTTAATCAGAATTTCCAGAGGGGTGAGGGGTCTTGGAAAACCTCTGTTCTGTGGGGGAGGTATGCATATTTCCTGGAACTACACAATTTTTAAAAGAGGTAGCAGTGGCTTCAATGCTTGGATATAGCCCTGTAAACACTAGCATCCCATCCAAGCCTGGGGAAGGGCATACTGCTGGTAGCTTCGTGTTATTGAAACTGAGGAAACCTTCCACAGGCATAACAGGCACCTTCTGGGGGTGACCTTGCCAGAAGAAATTACACAATGTCTGGGTGAGTGCTGATCAGGATACAAAAGCATTCAAGTTGTAGCAAAAACAAAAAAGTTAACAATTCTTACAGCTAATGATAGTGTATGTTATAATTCCAAATACAGCCATAGACTTCAAGAAAAGTTTAAAAACAGCTCATTGTGGAACAGTTCAGAGATCTTTTCAGAGCCACCACAAAAGCCAAACTCTTGGTTTTTGTTCACTTTGGTTTTTTTGTCATTGTTTTGTTGATGGGAAATTGGGAATCAAAACAATGGTCAATAAAATACATATTGTGGATTTTCTCATGATACACATCTAACCCTGATACATGTGGGCTTTTCCACAGCAGAATGCCTGGATCCGTCATATCATTAGTAAGTCCATTTTGGCAAGGCAAACATCAGAGAAAGTAGCCTACAAGCCTTAAAACCTTTTTGAGTTATCTTCCAAGAGTTGTTGCCTAAATCATGGGCGTTTTGCCCAAAAATTTCACTGATTTCAAAATTGGGGGGACTGCAGCCGCCCCACCCCCCAACCAGCCCGTATAGGCCAAAGAAAGCTTCAGCAAAGATAGGCTCCTTGGTTTGACGCCAACTAGCACTGTACCTGATTCAAGTTCAATTCAGCCCAGGGTTGTTGACCAAAAGAGAACATCTCCCACAGTGTTATTCCATAACTCCACACATCACTCGCAAGTGTGAACACATTATTCACTATCGCCTCAGGAGGCAACCTGTGAAACATAACAAAAAAAAACACACAAACAAACAAACACAAACAAACAAACAAAGGAAGATATTTAAAGGAGTTATGAGATATGCAAATATCTGGCTCTGATTGACTTAGCTAGTTAACATACCCTCAAATACAGACATGAAATCAAACATTAAAAATCAATTAACTTGTTTCCACAAGCTTGAGTTTCAAAGGAGAATTTGTGACAAAACTGCTTAAATTAAATTCTTGCAAACTTTCCGAAGTGCTTGCATTAGGCAGTAAGTATACGAAATCTATTACATGAGATGGGGTATCTTCTGATCTTTTGTTCAGGAGTATTCCAGAGATAATTGACAGCTGGTAAATCAGTTCTTACTTACCAGGCAACTGCTAGTTTTCTATGGACGGTGATCTGTGTCGTGGCTCCTCCTTCCAGTGTCCGGGCTAAACCAAAGTCACTTATCTTAACCTGACATTATATAATATGACAACAGAGTTGACAGTCAAGAGTAATATCAAAGAATGTCATAATTTTGTTGGGTTGCAGACATCTTTGATTTGACTGTTCACTGTATATGACACAATTAAAACTTATTGTAATATCAGGGCTCAAAATAATTTCCGCCGGTCATGTATGTTGACTGGCCAAAGTAATTTTAGCTCAGTCACATCTCGTCTGACCAGGCAAGATATTTTTAAAAAATTAAGTAATGTTGGCCTAATTAAACCCACAAATATAATTTGTTTGTTTCAGTCATTGCTAGACCATTTAAAAAATTGGCTTGATACAAAGTAAAGCTTAAGACTTAACCAAAGATAGCCTTGACAGTGCTCAGTGTTGTGTTAGCTTACATGAAGTATTGTTTAAGTTAGTTATGTGCGAGATGCATGTTGGTTATTGAGGATGGCATCTTGAAGTAAACACATGTTGTCCACTGAAGACTATTGTAAGCCCAAATAATTCAACATGGTGGCAGCGGTGGGTGGCAACACTGTCTGTGGTGCAGAACATTTGGCTCAAAGTATCCAGGATCATAATCCCTTCTTCCATCTGTCTAGAGATACTGGACAAGATCCATGAAGGTCACCAAGGAATCACTAAATGCCATAAGCAGGCCAAAAACTCTGTTTGGTGGCCAGGACTCAGCCGAGAAACCCAGGATCTGGTGCAACAATGCAGAGTTTGTGCTCTTCAAAGGGACAACAAGCCTGAACCACTTATCACGATACCCTTACCTGACCGTCCCTGGCAAATCATAGTCACAGACCTCTTCAAGCTGAAAGGTGTTGACTACCTTATTGTTATAGACTACTTCTCAAGATACATGGAAGTAGCAGCTATGCAGAAGACTATAAAGTCAAGTGAGGTCATTAGAGCACTTAAGTCGATATTTGTCAGACATGGGATCCCAGAGCAAGTGCGATCTGATGATGGTCTTCAGTTTGACAGTGCAGAATTCTCTTACTTTGCTAAGGAATGGGGATTCAAGCATAGCACAAGTAGTCCTAGATTTCCCCAAGCAAATGGAGAAATTGAGCAGGGAGTGAAGAATCTTCTAAAGGAAAAAGACCTGCTAAAGCATTACTAGCCTATCGCTCAACACACACTAGCATGCAAGTTCTCTCCTGCCCAGTTGCTAATGGGAAGGCAGATGAGGAACAGCATTCCGTTATTCCACACCCAGCTGAGCCCACAGTGGCCTGACTTACATAACCCGCGTGCACGAGAGAGCATGAGCAAATTGAAGTAGCAAACAGTGTTCAACAACAGGCACAAGGCCAAGTCCTTGCCTTCAATTGGACCGGGTACTGAAGTTTTCATCAAGGACCTTTGACAGCGGTCAGGAAAAGTCATTGAAGCAGCATCAACACCTCGGTCATATAAAGTTGAAACACTGACCAGCATGATAAGGAAAACCTCTTCACTTTACTCCACTGCCAAATCAGCAGGACCAAAATGAGCAACCGACACCAATAGTGAACCAAGTTCCCGCAAAGGACAAAACGGCAACACCTGTTCTGAATTACATTCCCATTACAAAGGGGGACATTCAAGTACTCCCTGTAACACCCATTCTTGCTACTAGGCCTAAGAGAATTATAAAACCATCACTGAAAGTTAGAGAGAATCTAGGTTTAGCTTGAGATAACGCTGTGTTATAGATTCCATAGATCGTTTGTTAGTCTTCTCATGCTCTGTTCATTTCCCTAGATACTCTAAGGACTTGAACAATGGGGGGAGATGTTAACATTGTGTTAGCTTACATGAAGTATAGTTTAAGTTAGTTATGTGCGAGATACATGTTGGTTATTAAATATGGCGTCTTGAAGTCAGCAGGTGTTGTTCACTGAACACTATTGTAAGCCCAAATAACTCGACACTCAGCAGCTCAATGAAGTTAGTGGCACGCTATCAGTGGAATTCTTGCCACCTGCCAAAGAAAAAGTATTGAATGGATGCATATTTGATGAAACTTCAAATTTTTGATCAGAAAATTGAATTTCATGAGCTGTTGTTTTGATGCTCTACAAAGCATTTATGTCCATCAAAACATAAATGAAACCAAAAATGCGTCAGCAGATCCTAATCTTAGGCTTCAGAAATAGCTGGGTAAATAAATATTAATAGCTGAAGACAAAGTTTCTGTTTCCTTGATTATCACCTCTGCAAACACACACAAATCATTGTGTTACTACGAATACGGCTACAGTTACACATTAAGTGTTTGGAAATTAAGATAAAACATTCGCTGGCTAAAAAATTTCAAAAAAGAACATGTCTTTGAGCCTTTGGCTGTCAAGCTACAGCCTTTGACCAATAAAAAATAGAATGCAAAATGATAAAATATATGCAAGAAAAGGCGAGATAAAAATAAGAAGAAGAACACAAGCAAAGAAAAAATGTGTAAATTAGGTGACTATTGCTTAAATAGAATACTATACTGGTTTGGCATCCGCTTAGAATTATTGTCAGATAACCATCACATTTGCTTCTTGGCACGTCCTTCTAAAAAACAGTGTCTCAGATTTTTGATAAGTGCATTTGTTCTTTTTTAACAATAGGATAAAGTCAGAGGAGACAAATCATCAGCACTTCCTCTGAAAAAAGGACAATTATTC